AAGATTTTAATTTAAAATTACCAAATTTATAAATTTCCTAATTTATCTATTGATTTGTGGTTAATATTGGTTCTCACAGTTACCACAAACAACTCAGTTCTCTCTTGAATAGGCCCATATATATATATATCTATATATATATATATATATATATATATATATACACTTGCTTATAGGGGACCTTCTTTTGATATTCATATAATTTATGAGATCGATCCAATATAAACTACAAATCATATTAAAATTAATTATTAAATTAAAAAATTGTTAATTTTAAATAAAGGGATTCCCTCTCTCTCCTCTCATTAACAACATAATATAAAAAATAAAACTAAATCTAATACACCGTGCCAACAAATAATCTAACAATGACCAAGTAGCACATTATGATTATCTTGTGAACATAAAAACAACGAAAGAGAAAACAAAAAAAAAATACAAATCCTTAAAAAGATAATCAAATTTGAACACCCGTCAACCTAAAACCAAAAAGCTATAGTAGCAGGATGCGATCCAGTGCCAAACGCATTGTTTCAATTAAACTTTGTGACCACCTATTTTTGTACATATTGTAATAATCTTCTGAACACAATGTAACACAACAACGTTAAGAACAAAAACCTCTAAAAATTTAATTAATGTTCTATGGAGGAGTTATGAATTTTTTTTTATTTATGGCAGGGATAAATTAAGTAAATGCATTTATGAGTTGTATTTTTTTTACTAAATTACCCTTTTATATTTACTTAATAAATAATATAATTATCTTAAATAGATAGCTCATTTTTGATTTTACAAATTCTAAAATTCTCATTTGATTAACTCGAGATTAAATTGAATTATGAAAGAAAAAATATGTTTATTAGTTAGAATTTCTAATGGATGGGCTTTTTTATTTGTATATTGTTATATTAACTTGGAAAAAACTGGTTTATATTTTTATGAGACAATAAATGAAGGTCAGTTCAAATAAAAAAGTTAAATTGTAAGAATTTAAGAATGATGGGTTAAAAAAAGATTCATATGTGAATAATTGAATAAATACATCTGAAGATGCATATGTTAACCCATATGAATAATTTGTAATATTGGTTCACATATGCATCTTCAAATACATTTTTTCTGGGTTTTTTCAATAGTTCACATATGAACCTTTACTTAACTTTCTCTTCTTACTTTCTTACACTATTTAGTCGTCTTATTTGATTAATCTCCCACTGTTCATGATTTTTCATCACAAATATTATGCATCTTCATTCATGATATTCATCAGGAATAGTTGGTTATCACATTCATCCAAATATTCATAATTTGCTACTGATTAGTTGATACGTCTGATATATTTCTTTTACTTTATAAGGGTAATGATTTAATGGTTCAAAAAAATATATTAAATGACTAATTGCTCAAAATATAAGAGTTCATTAGGGGGTTTTTTGTCTTAGTGAGTTCAAGAATTTAGTTGTTCGACTTCGATAAGTTCTATGATTTATTTGTTTTGATTTCAAAAAATTCTAAAATTTACTTATTCAAAAAATATTTATAGACTTTGATCTTTGAAAGTTTGTTTGACTTTTTCTGAGAAGATATTATACATACATGTAGTACAAAATGTGAAGATAGTTTTGTCTCTATAGGATGAGTCCAAGGCTTTTAGTTTCAAAAAAGCACCATTCTAGTGCACTTTGAATATTTAATATATATTTTTTCATATTTGTTCTCTTTTGAAATATATGTTAAATATTTATTTCAATTATTATATTTTATTTGTATTGATTTAATCTGACTAAATAAAAACCATATATTATTCATGTTGGACATAAATTTATTGACTAGAGATGGTTTTCAAAAAAAGAGTGATGATGTATGACCACTCTTACACCGGTGTAGAGATGGTGATGGTCTTAGACCATACTTCCATGACTATATATATATATATATATATATATATATATATATATATATATAAGAGCGTTCAAATAAAAACCGGTTCCATTTGTGTAAACCGTGTAAACCAATCTCATCCATCCATTTTCTTGATCAATGGCCAAAATTAGTTTACTTTATTTTAGGAAATTAAATAAAAATATATATTAAAAATTTATTTTATTTCAACAGTAAGGGCATAAATGGTAAACAAAATTTAATATTTGGTAACATCATACTCGATCTTTCATGAATCTTTTTTCATGCAAAATTATTTTCTTCCAAGATTAGTTTACTTTCATGAATCTTTTTTCATGCAGTAAGTTGCTCTTGTAATTTTTTTTCTATAGAAATCACTTACAATATATGCTCCATTTTCTTTCTAAGTTTTGAAACCGTGGCTAGGATCACGAGAAAGTAAAGGGTCCAAAATGTTCGCATGGATGCCATGGATGCATCAAGTCTTGATTGTTGTTATAATTCAAAGTCTCTCTAACTGTGAGGTATAATTTCGAAACACCCGATTTGTTCCGGTTTGTATGGGTCTTTGGAGGTTTACGGTTTTATTTTTCGTTGTGCTTGAGATCCCGTAACCCAACAACAAGAATAACTTATTAAAGTTCAATGTTTGAATTTTTGCAACTAACTACAGATAAACATAATAAATAACCGTCCATTTAATTTGATGAATTTCATATAAGTTTTGATTGTTTTCAAATATAAAGTATTGATCATAATTAATTAATCTTATTCATTTTCCATAAATATTTAAATCATAATAAATAAACTCTCATCATTTTCATAAATATTTCAATTTATTGAGTTGTATTGGTTGTACAAATGTGATAAGTTGCATTTGAAACAAAAAATATATATATATATATATATATATAGAGAGAGAGATAGAGAGAGAGAGAGAAATAATAACTAATCCATCTCTACCTTTTCTCAAAACCGTAAAATAAAATCGAAAAAGACAAACAACAAAACATAATATAGATTATGATTGAGGGTTCGAGTTCTAGATTTTAGAACCGTGTTGTATTGCATGGGTACACTTCTAGTTATTTATAAAAACATGTATAATGTATGGATAACTATAAACTGCTAGTGTAGGTAACTGAAAATTAGATAAATTAAGGGTCGTTTATCAAAGCTTACCCAGGTAAGTGTTTACCGATAAAATTCAAAACTATCACTTACTTACCGGGTAAAATTTTAGTATACCAAGACGGTATCGTATGCAACAATTTACAAGGGTAAAATTCTTGATTTTTCCCATATTTATTTAGTAAGGTAATGTAACTTGTGAACACTTACCCTGATAAACGTTTCCCAAAAAATTCTGAGAGTTCTTTTTGTAAATTGTTCGATGGTAATATATTTTTTCTACCTCTTAATAAATCACGTATTCAAAATTAATTATTTTAAGTTTTAATCCATAAGTTATATTTAATATATTTTTATTTATGAAATTTTATACTAATTTAATCAACGATCGGATATGTTACAGACAAAGAGGAGTACATTATGGACCAGAAAATGATGACATTTCACATATTTTTTACTTAATTATAGAATGTAAGTTGCTGTTTAGTAAATACTTATCTGATAAGTGTTTATAGAGTAATTTTTTTTTACCGGATTAACATGACAAAGGTCAAAAACCTTACCCGGTAAGAGCAACGATAAAGATGGAGAGTCTTACTTGGTAAGTGAATGTGATGACTCTTACCCGGGTAAGCGTTTATCGGGTAAATTATTATATATGATATCACTTTGATGTACTAAAATCTTATCCGGTAAAATAAACTATAGTGTTAACTCCTAACGTTAAACACTTATCAAGTAAGCATTTAGGTAAACCAACCCTAAGTATCTCGATTAATTTTAAGATCCTAAAAGACAGTCTGAAAAATCTCTCCAATAGTCTTAGGTGCCGTTTACCTAAATGCTTACCTGGTAAGTGCTTAACGTTAGAAGTCAGTACTATAGTTTATTTTATTAAGTAAGATTGTAGTACATCAAAACGTATCCTATGCAACAATTTACCTGGTAAGCGCTTACCTGGGTAAGAGTCGTCACCCTCACTTACCGGGTAAGACTTTTCATTCTTATCATCGCTCTTACCGGATAAGATTCTTGGCCTTTATCATGTTCATCCGGTGAGAAAAATTACCCGGTAAATACTTACAGGGTAAGCGTTTAGTAAATGGCCCTTAAAGACTCTAATGGAACAATCTCCAAGGTCCAAATCCTATTACCATTCGAGTTAAACCCACAATGTTACATTATATCTTACTCTTTCAGATTTTGATTTCAACATTTATTTGTAACAATTTAAACTAAAATTTTAATTTTATTATATTATTTTGATATTTTTATAGGTTGAATTATTTGTTAGCATATTTATTTAAATTGTATTTCAATTAAACATAAAAATAGTAAATTAATATATGAAGGTATGTTTAACCCGTCCAAACAGAACCTGCCTCCAAGGACACCAATGTAATAAGACATCTTTTAGCTCACTCAACCAGCTGAAGACTGAGAATAGCGAGAGGGCCCTTTGGATCGAACCCAGTATCTCGTATTTGTACAAATTGATTCCAACCCTTTGCTCAAATATATGATGTTATAATAATTTGAGGAAACTTATTACAAGAATATGAATTGCACCCGATATACATTCGACATATACACGATCGAAAATAACAAATAAAAGAATTTAATTTACAAACAAACAACAAATCTAAAATAAATGCGGTCGTACATATCTCGGATTATTGTCGCTCCAAATTATACAAGTTATTATCTCTCGCTATCGAACGAGCCGTGAACCCCACGGTCGTTGCCCTTATCGACCGTTGTCTCACCATGTTACAATAATCGGGATCTTCGGTGTGACCTTCGTGCCTTATCCATTGCACCATCCCATGGTACCCCGGAAAGAACCGCATTTTAATCGCCTTAAAACAAAAATACGGAATCAGAGCAGCGATCACCACGAAAAGGGTCACGAGCCAATACGTAGGTGCAGGCGCTAGCGTTTCTACGAACACTTTATATGCACTAGTCGAGATGGACACCGAGAGCGAGCCATACGCCAAGAGGAAGAGGTACCATAAGACGATGCCACCCCAGATGAAGACGTGTTGTATTAACGTGAAGTAGCTAACTGCGAGCGCCATTTGGCAGTTGACGACCCATACGACGCAGGTGTACATTGTGGCCCCCACGATTTCCATCCCGGCGGTCTTTCCGTTCTTGTCGTAGGACTCGGGGTCTAAGGCTCTGGTGCAGAGGAAAAAGATGATTACACCACTACATAGCCCGTTGAGCATCCAGCTGAATATGCGGCGCCATCCGAAGAGCGTGTTTTGCACACCTTCTTGGTACAGCAAAGGGAACTGCCAACAGAAACCGAGCTAACGATGAGAATACAGACTATTGAAGAATGCACTTCAATAAGATGATAACAGTGACCAAAGGGCCATTGGCCCAGCTGACCCAAGTTACCATGGTTCAAACCTCATCAAAGCTAAGTAGGGTGCATGAGTATATGCGGTATGTAAATTATATATATTGTAAGATGACAAGGGTGTAAGGTTTCGATACCTTGAGACAAAACCGAGCAGATACATCTTGGTCGAAGACTCCCAAGGCAATGACCGGAAACGATGTAAAGAAGACGTTGTAAAGGGACAAATACCAATCGTTATATGCAGGTTGCCCGGAGAATGCTGCGTAACCCTCATATAAGAAAACCGTAGTTCCAAATACGATGTTTTTGTAGAAAAAGTAGCATATCTGCAAAATATAAACGATAATTAGTGCAATCAATCTCAAAGACTCACTACAAGAAAATCAGGTTTATAGGACGTCAAATATGTCTAAATGCCCTAATAAACTGTTTTATAGGTCTGAATTCTTTAAGTTTATATGATCAAATAGTTGTGCTTCATATTAAAAATGTTACAATAAGATGATGGGATGCTCAGTAACAACTTTATACATGACAGGCAATTGTTTCAACTTATAAACCTAAGTCCTATATGGCAGTCTATTACGATATTCAGACATATTTGATGTTCTATAAAGCCGATTTTGTTGTAGTTACAATATATACCATGTGGAGCAAATTGGGGAAGGAAATCTTCAAAATGCAGTCTTTATAAACAAAATGAGTTCTTACCATTGAAGAAATTCTTCTGTAAGACCAATGTCCGTGAACTAATAGCAAGCGTTCCAAGAACCGAAACTGAGCAATTGCAATATCGCTGGACATAACCGCCTATTTCCACACAAAAAAATGATTAGTAACGAGTACAATGGGCAAACATGGTTTATGGTTTAGGGTTTAGTGTTGCAATCTTAAGTACCTGCATTCCCTCGACACCACTAATTCCAATACCGATATCAGCTTCTTGAAGCATTCCCACGTCATTTGCTCCATCACCGATGGCTAGTGTCGTCTTTCCAGTTCCCTCTTTTACAAGTCTCGTAACCTACATTCCGTAAACGTTTCTTTTTAAGTTTATTACGTAAGAAACCCATATGGTAATAAAAAGATTCAGGGGCGAAAGACTAACCAGTGCCTTCTGTTTTGGCGAAGAACGACAACAGATAACAGAAGCACAGCCAACGGCGAGTTCTAAAAATGCATTTTTCGTGTCGTCGTTTAAAGCATACACAAGAGATTTTCCGTCAATGATCAAAGCATGTGCCTCAGACCTTGAAGCATCAAGCTGAGCCTTTCCGGCTGATATCTGTTTCTTGACACTGTTTTCCGAGACCTACAAGGACAAAGTTGTAATTTGCTATCAATAAAACATGCGCGGGAGGGACAATCTTAAGCCATATTCAGCAACTATAAGCTAGCTTATTTTCTGAGCTTTAAAAATCCCCGTTTGGTTTGCCTAAGCTAGCTTTTTGAAAAAACTATTTTAAGCGGCGTTTCAATAAGTTTCAGATGTTTCTTTTTTCACTTTTTTTTTCTCATCATGTCTTTTTAGATCATTTTACGTTGTCATCTAGCTTATCAGCTAGTTTTTACCAAACATGGATATTTATCGGCTAACAGCTAGCTTATCAACTATCAACTGACTTCAGCAACTTACCACGCAACAACTAGTTTGCCAAACATAGCCTTGACCTCTTTACTTGGAATTTGAAACGTTCACAATATAATGACTTCACTCACCTTGGCGATGACGCTTTTGTCTCCGGCTTTTTCTGCCGCTACAATCTCTGGTGATTCCAAGGTTATCACTATTTGTTTCATTCCTTGTCTAAGCAGACTACATGCAAAACTGCAAAAAGGAGTTCAAGTTTCACTTCTGAATGTCAAAAGGAGTCGTCTTTAAACTTCAAGATTGACAAGGACTACGTACTTTGTGTAGGCAAGTTCGATAACTATGTTTCATTATACTATGAGTGTTCAAATACAAACATTTTGAAGATCAAAAAAACACTAAATTAACATCAATTTTGAAATTGAAAAGTACTAAGTTTGACTCTCGAAAGTCAACGAACAGAGTACGGACAAGTGTAACAGTATCTTACCCTATATTAATTGCTGTTTCTAATAGAGTTTAACTAAATGCCCGTCTTTCCCCCTCTCTTGTATTGCAATATATAAACATGGATGTTACAAAATAGTCCCTTGGACTATACAAAGAATACCAACTAACTACCTGGAACTATACAAAGAATACCTTCTAGTCTAATAGTTTCCATTTTATCACCGGTTAGAACCCATATCTTGATTCCGGCTTGAGCAAGTTTGTCAATGCACTCCGGGACCTGCAAAAGGAAAAGGCGATGCTTTGAGTACGAGATGGATGTGAGAATATGTGAAACCCCTTCGAATCTATCTCTAAAAAGGTCCTTATCAAAATGGGAGGTTCCAATGTATACACGATTCTATATATATATATATATATATATATATATGTGTATATATATATATATGTATATATATATATAGGTTTGATGGTATGTGTCTACGGCGTAGCTATAATAGGTAATGAGACAAGAATCAAACGAAAACTCGATTTACGAGAAAAACGCACCCCTTTTTGGAGTTTATCCTCGACAGCAGTTGCACCAAGAAGTATCAAATCCTTCTCGATTTCATCTGTCACTTCGCTCATCATATCATCTCGTTCAGCACTCACCGAGTTCTTGGCTTCCGTGAATTTCTCGTTGAATTCTTTGTACTCTTCGTCACTGAGTTCACGATATGCAAGTATTAAAGTCCTTAATCCTGCCTGAGCATACTCATTCACGTGTTCTCTTGTGTTCTCTTCGAACTGTCGTCCTTCTTTTGAAAGCCTTTCAAACATAACGCTGAAAAACCGAAAACAGCAACAAAGAAACATACAGAGTGTTTAAGATCACAATTCATGATATTATCAGCGTTCTAAAAAGGATTAATCGAACCGATTGCTGGTTGTTTACTAACCTGTCGGCACCTTTACAAAGTAAAAGCAGCTTTCCTTCCTCGTCCCTTACTATAACCGACATTCTCTTTCGCGCACTGTTGAACTCGAGAATGTTCAAAAGTTCGTATGACCTGCAAAACAAATAACAAAGAATAGGACATAAGCATACTTTAGCCATGTTTGACAACCATAAGCTAGCTTTTTTTAGCTTATTGAAAAAGTCCCATTGGGTTCGTCATAAGATAGCTCTTTTCCACGAATCCACGGGATTTTTCCCCTTTTGCCAATTATGCCCCTTTCTATTATACCAATTAACTTTTTAACATGTACTTTTAGGTCATTTTACATTATGACCTAGCTTATCACCTAGTTTTTTATAATAAATAGTTAGTTTATCGGCCAACAACTAGCTTATAGGCTATTTTGGTAGATACTAAAAGTTACACAAGAAAGAAAAGAGAAAAAGGATTCATACCTTTCGACATTTTTCATGGATTTAGGATCGAACTCCATAAAGGAGACGCTTGTTTGTGTCCTCTTGTAGAATTCAAAGCCAAGTTCTCGGGCTGCAATCACAAAAGCCGCTTCATCAGGCGACTCGGCTTCATATGTTACGTTTCTTGTGTCCTCATCTACATCAGGTATGGCTGTATGACAGATCGCCAACAAACGAAAGAACTTCTGAATCACATCTGAATGTGGCTCGTGAACCCATCGCCTGTTTGTGATCCTTTCGTCTTCAAAATTGTATCCTTTCACAGATAAATGAGAATTGTCATCATTGCCATCACCGTTCATCAACAATGGAGATCCCGTTCGTTTGGCCATAGCTCTCTCAACTTCTGTAACATGACGTCCGTAAGCCGTGCCTGCCACAGAACACTTGATGAACTCCATTGAGTTACATGTTAAAGTTCCGGTTTTGTCAGATAAAATGGTGTCGATTTGACCAAGTTCTTCGGTTAGATTCGAAGTTCGAGCGTGGGCCGGCTTGTCAGCTTCCTCATAGTACATATCAACATCATTGTTAATAAAAAGCGTCTGCAACACTTTCACGACTTCAATCGACACATAAAGTGATATGGGAATCAAATAGCTATACAGCATTACAGCCGTAAGGAAATGATATATCGCCGCCATTGGAGCTCGTTTAGGATCAAAGAAAATCTCCGATCGATCTGGTCCTAAATACCATCGTTTCATTCTATCCCCATCTAAATCATCTCTAGTCGTAATCCCAAAATAAACCGATCCTACGAAAGCCATCAGAAACAAAACAAAGAACAAGAAGTAGATAATACTATCCGTTCTTTTCTCGATTTTACTTCTTTTCGAAGGTGGGTCCGTTGAGTTTTGAATGACTTTCGTGTCGTGACCGGTGAAGATAACGACACCGTAGATGTAATCCGTGTTTCGAAGCTTAGAATCTCGCAAAAGAAGCTGTTGAGGAGAAAGCGCGTGGCGTTGTTCTTGAAACTGCATCGTTCCAACAAAAGTATACAAACTGGCATTCGGATCTTCACATCTAACAGTAGCTTTGAAGCTGTTAAACTTTGAATCTTCGTTAATCAAAGAAGTTACGTCTAGCGATTGTTTCAACTTCAAATTTGTTTCGCCATCTAGATTCATCGTTTCGACATAACAGATTGCATCATCGTAGCTAGATGAAATCAAGAGAAGATCTGCAGGGAAGAATTCATCCTTTTCTACCTTAACTACATCACCTACTCTTAGTTTTTTCCATTGGCTAGATTCAAAAACTCCGCCACCACGATGAACTTTGACTTTTCGATTATTGACCTCATGATCCTGAAAAAGGTTTGAAATTTCCGAATTATACGAGGTTGACTGCCTATTAAAATCTACCATTGTTCTCAAGATGAACAAAAATTCAAGCTTTTCATCTCATCACAAACATCCAACAAATTTCAAGAAAACAAGAATCTAACAACAACACACGTCTTCTCGGGACTATACTTGCACCATTTCTCCTGTTGGAACGCTCTTATAAAAGCTATTTGTGGTAATGGTAACATCTATTTACCTAATTTTTAGGGTTTGTTACTAGTTTATTTTTCACTTTTAGTTTTTCTTTCTCTTAGGGGCGTTTACCAAACACTTACCCGGTAAACGTTTATCGGTAAATTTAACACTATCATTTACTTACCGGGTAAGATTTTAGTCCATTAAAACGATATCGTACGCAACAATTTACCAGGTAAGCGCTTACCGTGGTAAGAGTCGTCGCCCTCACTTGTCGGGTAAGACTCTTGGTCTTTGTATCGCTCTTACCGGGTAAGATTTTTGATCCTTACCATATTCATCCAGTAAGGTAATGAGACTTGGTGTTCACTTAAGCATTTGGTAAACAGCCCCTTACCATCTGAATATAATGTCTTGATAATTTATTGGCACTTGTCCCGATCACAATAGTTTCTGGATCAGGCACCGCATGGAATCTCACACTCATATGTATATATATATAATATACATACAGACACATGTATATATAAAATTTAGGCTTATGAAATGAATCTGAAGAGAAAAAGGTGAGAATATGAAGATGTACCTGCTGTTGTCTTTGCCAATCTTCAATCCCTTCTTTGACCATAGTAGCACCAACGACAATAATAAGAGGAATAACGGCACTAACAGCAGAATAAGGAGCTAATGCCGTAAAAGCCAAGATCCCAGTAACAAGAAAATAGAAATTAGCCACCCGTCTAAACTGTTCAAACAGAGATTTGGGTAGAAATGTGAAAGGTGTATACTTGGTTAACCTCACATAATTGTCAGCATAATTTTGAGTTATGCCTTCTGATCCACTCATTTCATTACAATAAACCACCCTTGAAAACCCAGGCCCTCCAATCTGTGAATGATCATCTTCAAATCCACTTCTCCTAAGTGAATACATCTTGCTAAGATGCATCGTCTTCCTCCTCCCTTTCCCCATTTTCACTCAAAACAGCTTCTTACGAGATACCCAATTCAGAAACAACAAAGGGTTGGTGCTAATTGAAGGGGTTGTAGCTATGGACTGAAATTTGGTACAAATTAAGCAAAACCCAGAAAGAAAAACTCGAAAGGTGTAGAGCCGAACCAGGAGTAATTAAGGTACAACCCACAAAAGCAGCGGTCTGAAGGCTCGGATTATCTTGAAAATTGATTTAAAGGTGTGATATTTGTTGAGAAAGAATAAAATAAATGAAATTTTAATAAATTGTGAAGAAAATAGCGAGTCTATAAATGGGGAATTGGAAGAAGAGACGGATAACTTGAAGAGAAATGGCAAATGTTGACCAGAAGGTTCTGAGGTTGAAAGAATACTTACTTTGACTTCAAAATTTGTCTTAATAACGCGCATGTATGGGTCTTTAGAAAATTCAAACCTTTGATAATTAACTGGGAAAATAGTTAAATATATAAAGCAAAAAAGTAAATTACAAAAATGGTCCTTAGGTTTGTTATAATTCTGGTTTTCATCCCTCTTTTTTGGAAGTTATAAGAAGGGTCATTTCGGTATGAATTTTATTACTGGAATCGTCCCTAGCTCTAATGTCCATTACCTTGTGCCATCTAGGTAGTATTTGATATAGAAACTAGATAGACATGGCTAATTATTTGTCCTGTATTCGATATGACCATAACAGAATAAGACAAAACTGTTAAATAATTAGATTGTCCTTAAAATAACGTTTTAATAATTTTATTATAAAAAATAAAATTATAATATATAATAATGAAATTAATTAAAATAGTTAGTTTGACCATATCATTTAATCTCTTAGACATTTCTTTTCAAGAATCACGAAAATAGCATTCATTTGCAAAAATTAGTCTATAATAGCTAAACGACAAAAAAAATGTTACTAAAAATTGCGGACGTGGGTAAAAATGTGACATTTTGTTGTGGACGTGGGTAAAATGTAACATTTTTTGTGGATGCAGGTGAAAAATGTAACATCTAACATTTGTGTAATTCTTGAAGAGAAATGACTAATAAGTAAAACTATGTGGTCAAAATGACTATTTAATTAATTTCTTCATAAAATAATACATACATGTATATATATATATATATATATATTATAATTTATATCAAAGAAAAAAAGTGTATATAATATTAT